TTCAAATCTTAAAAATACCGAATGTAGCCGCGTGTATAAGACGATGTGGACCTGCATACGCAACTTTTGACATAAGCCTTTACAATATTCAAATGCGAAATTTGAAAAAAAAAATCGGTGAATAGTGCAGCTAAAATCATCAAAATATCGAATATAGGAAGCTACCATTTAATGGAGGCTATACAAAAACGTGGACCTCGACAGACAATTTTCTGTCACAGGCTGTAGTATCCATTACGAACTTCAAATACCAAATTTGAAACATTTCCAGTGAAGAATGCGGCTAAAATCATCAGAGAACCGAATATCGGGAGGTACCGTTGTATGGGGACTATACGAAGACGTGAACCTGCACAGATAATTTTTTGTCATAGGCTGTAGTATCCATTACGAACTTCAAATATCAAATTTGAAACAATTCCGGTTTATAATGTCGCTAATATCATCAAAATACCGAATATCGGGAGGGGCGAAGACGTAAATATGCACCAAAATTTTTCTGTCATCGGCTGTAGTATCCATTACCAATTTCAAATGCCAAAATTACGGTGAATAATGCCGCTAAAATCATCAAAGAACCCAATATTGGTTGGTACCGTTATATGGGGGCTATACGAACAAACAATTTTCTATCTTAGGCTGTAGCATCCATTATGAACTTCAAATACTAAATTTTTGAAACAATTCCGGTCAATAATGTCCCTAAAATCATTAAAATAACGAATATCGGGAGGTATCATTATATGGGGGCTATACAAAAACGTGGACCTACATGACCCATTTTCAATACCTGCAGACATAATATACATTTGAGTAAAATTTTGTCAACCTACTTAATTTCATTCGGAAGCTACAGTAATTTCCAAAGACGTACATACCGTTAGACGGACGGACATCGCTAAATCGACATAGAATTTTATGCTTATCAAGAATATATATACTTTGTGGGGTCTAAAATGTATGTTTCGAGGTGTTACAAACGGAATGACAAGCTTCATATACCTTCCATACTATGGTTATGAAGTTGGGAATATTTTCCAAAAAGATTCGGTTTTTTATAATTTCTTGGAGGACTTTTATATTTGTGATTTTTTTTTCAAATATTTTTCAATGGACAACCAGATGGCACAATTGTGGATTATTGAAGAATATTGTTTCAAGTGTTCACAAGCCATAATACAATCCATTTTATGGTGGAGGGTATAAAAATGGATAACAAAATTTATCATTGAAGCATTAGCTTGACTAAAGTGGATTACATATCAAATTTGCTGTAATACAGGGTTGCGTATACGTACTATCACAGCTTATACGCCACCTAGTCAACAATTTCTTCAACTACCCAGGAGTTTTGTTAAAGCAGCAAGTGCCCGCTACTTCGTCAGCTAAAAATCCACTTTATATTTATAGATTCCTTCCAACAGTTCTTGTTTGGTCCTTTTTAGTACTCAAAATGCACAATTTGTCCAATTTGACAACATATTTTAATCATCGTACTAAATGTTTTAGATTTCCAAAGTTTTTTATGCATAAAACTTAATTTATATACCATGTCAAGAGATTTTTTGTAATAATTTTATCTTTAAATTTTTTTAAACATATTTTCCTAGGACAAACAGGGCCATAAGCTTGAATTTTTAAAGATATTTTTTCAGTACAAACGGAGCTATAAGAGTGGATTTTTTTCCAATACAAACAGATCAATAAGCGTGTATTTTTTAAAGATATTTTTTCTAGGTCGAACAAAGTCTTTAGAGCGGATTTTTTAAACATATTTTTCTAGTACAAACAAAGTCATAAGAGAGGATTTGTTAAAACAATTGTCCTAGGACAAATGGTTAGCCTGGATTTTTTTAAAGATATTTTTGTGTTAATTATTTCCACTGAAAAATCACTGTGTCCAACTTTTCTGCTGACAAAAGCAATTTTCAACTAATAAAGCACTTTACGTTTTAAACCAAAGTAAGCGAGACTAAAACAAATACAAAAGAGGTTGCTGCTGTTGTTGTCGTTATCGTCGTCGGATAGTGTATACGAAGAAAGGTAGTAATGCTAAAAAAAAACACGTCACGATTTTAACCACATACCAGTCATTCATTCATTCGTTCGTTCATTGAGGATAACATTTTTTCCAGCACAAGGCAAGAACTCTAAATGTTAACAACAAATAGACGTGGTAGTTTTCACAAAAGAGGTAAAACAAATGAACGACAAGACTTCACAAACCTAAATGCAATTTTCGAAAAATGCTTTCACCAAACACAGAGTCATTGAATGAGGGCCACATTTGTTTTCCCTAAAAACAGTAATAGCCTTGCTCATTCAATGCTGTATTCTTTGGTTGCAACATTGCGGTATAATGAAGCAAATAGACTTTCCTTTCGACAAAGCATGAAAACTTATTTTCCGTTTTTATGTTAATTCTATCAAATGCAACAAAATGTTGTAGTTCTGGCAACAATTTGCACAGGTGAGGCATTTTGTTTGAGCAGAACAGAAATTCTTTTTTTGGTATTCTATACAAACTACCTTCAATGCCACTCTAACTTGTAGTGTAGACTATTTTGTTAAGCAATACAATTATTTGTATTGTGACACATACCTTGAAGAAAGACCACGAAACTAGTTTTGTAGAAATTTTTCAAAAGTGTTTGTTGGTTTGAAAAAAAAATTAAATAAAATATGTACAGGGTGAGATGAAAAAACTGCAAGCAACCTCAGACTGCTGCCATTTCTAAGCCACTCGTCCGACAGCTGTTAAAAATTATTCCAGTGACCGCTCATTATATTGTTTACAAGCGTACAAAAGCATTTTGGTGAGAATTTTCCAGAAAAAAAGTTATTCGTGATGAAATTCAAGCGTGATAGTGTGATTTCTTAACATTTGGCTGGAAAGCCACAAGTGGCTATCGTTAGAGCATTCCAGCATTTAAATGTGAATAAATCGCTTGTGTTTCGTGACATCGCTAGTTACCGTGATACTGGTAGCGTAGCCCGACATCAAGGAAGTGGAACGAAGAAAACAGCAATATCAACAGAAATGGTTCGAAAAGTATACCCGCGTCGCAGTGGCCGAAAATTGGCTCGTGAACTGAACATATCGCAATATTCCATTCGAAAATATTGAAAAATGAGGTCGGGGTAAAGCCATTGAAATTCCAAAAAGTGCAAGAACAGAAAAAAATAGACTCAAAAGAGCTAAAGAGTTGCTTCGCTTGACCGAAAGTGGTGAACTGCCGAATTTGGCTTTCTGCGATGAGAAAACATTCGTTGTCCAGCAGTTTGTAAACAAACAAAATTATCGTGTTTACTTGCCAAAGAGGTCAGCTGAAAATGTGCACCTTCGGTTGGCCACCAGATCTCAAGCGCCGGCCATGGTGATGGCCGATGGTCGCTCTCCGCTCGTATTAATCGACCATGGCATCAGAAAAAATGTCGAATATTATCGCGAAAATACTCTGGAGGGTGTATTAAAGCCTTGGGCACGCAAACATTTTGGTCGCAGACCTTCGACATTTCAACAGGACGGAGCACCATCGCACTCAGCACGCGCCACCCAAGAATAATTACAAATTGAGGTTCCTCGCTTCATTTCCAGCGCACAATGGCCACCAAAATCTCCGGATACCAATCCGTTGGTCTATTGTGTTTGGATATTTTGGAAAGCAGGGTTGGCACTAAAAGATACCAAATTGTCGATCACCTCAAGCAAGCGCTTCGCCGGGAATGGGTCAAAATGCCGCAGAGCAACATTCGGGCAGCGTCTGGCCGTTTGAAGGCAATAATTCGTGCCAAAGGTGACCAATTCGGATAAATCCAAACTTATTCTACAATTTGATGCTATTTCCGGCATTGTCTACTTTTATTAAAAAAAAAAATTTAAAAAAAATTAAAAATTATTGCGTTTGATATATACTTTATAGGATCTAACATGAGTATTTCGAGGAGTTATAAACGGAATGACAATGTTAGTATACCTCCATAGAATGGTGGAGGGTATATGTAGAAAGCATAAAAGTTCGGCCCGATCGAAATTAGTACCTATTAAAAAAAATGATGGCTCTAAAGGTCGAAGTTAAATTCGACGATAAAGCGGAGCAACAATTCCTTGGAAGAATTAGAAAAGCCCTGAAATTAAGTCCTAATTTCAGGCACTAATATTCAATAAAAAAAAGTCCCAAAAATAAAAAATATAAAGAAATTCACGATTATGGCTTGTGAGCACTTGAAAGAATATTCTTCAATGATCCAAAATTGTGGCAACTGGTTGTCCATTGAAAAAGAAAAACAGAATGCTTTTGGAAAATATTTCCAAATTATACTTAATTATAACTTATGTAGGATGAAGGATATTTTTATTTTTAATCTATTATAGGTGGCGATCTTATTTCTTATATTAAAATCCATAATCTATTTCAGGTATACTTACTACTTTTTATTTACAATTTGTTTTTTTTTTCTGCCAAAACTATTATTCTTCTTTGCTATATATTTCACATTCTTTCTATATTCTCAACACTTTCAGTCCTGCTGTGATTTTACATTTCCAACCAACCCTAATTGTATGCCACAAATGAGGTAACAATTAGCTCTCCTTTTAACAGAGATTTAATATCATCCACATCATTGCATCTCCTTTTGCTAACGCATAAACAAGTCCACCCTTAAAATATGTTTCACTCTTTCATCATTATCATGCAGTCTAACCCAAAATATCATTTAATTAACAAAGGTGGCTTTATTTTTCTTATATTCTTATAAATTCTTATATTTCCTTCATTATTTATTCAGAAACAGAGAAGAAAAAATTGAAAAGAATTTTCAATGGAGAAATGTCTCAACACATTTCGCCAACAACTAATTTACCGTTAGATTCTTGAATAATAACTAATTTTCTATACATTGTAAATTTTTTGTGTGTGTGTGTATAACCAAAGGATAAAGCACAATGACTCTTCAATTTTTTTTTTACCTTCCATTTTTGCTTTCTGTTTTTGCAGGTTCCTAATACACCGTTAATGGCAGCAACGACGACAGTATACCAAAATAATAATGGCTTTAACAATTCCTCGTCCTTATCGTCAAGTTCCCACACCGCCACCGTCAACACCATTACATCCAACTCATTCTCATTGTCGTCTGCATCGTCATCATCATCATCATCCTCAACAACAACAGCAACTGCATCATCGTCATCATTACCCGCCTCGAATACGTCGTCGTCGTCGTCGCCATCATCAGTGCCAAATGCCTTGGCATCGAGCACAGCACTGGCGGCTACAACGGTGCCATCTGGTGCAGCGCCAACAACTACCCTGGATACAGTAACGGCCGCAATACCATCCGCAACTCCTTCATCATCGCTGACGTGTTTGCATCAGAGACGTTTTCTTGATTGCCAGCAATTACATGCACAACCCACGGAGTTATTTAATAAAGGTAAGCTTGATGCGAGTAAGAGTGTATGTGTGTGTGCGACTTTAGTTTTCGTCATTTCTAAAATTACTTGCAGCATACCTTGGGGCGCACATTGTTATAGTTTTAACAGGTATTGTTGCATATCTCCAAAGGGGGAAGAGGGTTCGAAGAAAGGTTTTGTTTTATGTTTTGTGAGGAGGAGCAGAATCGTTTTGAAGGTGGTGTCGTAATGAGAAAATTTATTTCAAAAATGTCATAAAAAATTAAACTACACTGACTGGTTCGTTTAAGATTAGCATGACACCAACTTGGCAAACAATGTCTGAGAAGAACAATATGTTGTGACAACAGGGACTACATTAATTTTCATTCACGCATTTTTCATTTTCATATTTCCACCTTAAACTTAAAATTTAGGATTTTCTCTTACCTAAACCAAACTCGTTATTATGTAAATGAAAATTGTCAAAATATGTTCTCTGGTGACATTTCAAGTCAATATTTGCTCTGTGCACCAACGGATATGAATGAAATGGAACGCATAAATTATTGCCACAGTCAGCCAATATCATCCGTGTTTTGGCAACAACGTAGTGAGTTAACATGTTTTTCCTTTTTTTCTGTCAGCGGAAAGTCAATTTTTATTTGGTTTCGTTGTCAAGGACAAAACCGAAAAATGGGGACAATGTCAAATTGTATTCAATTTTGCTAAAAGCTTTTTACGTCAATATTTACATTTACGTTTACAAAATGCTAAAAGGGGAATGTTTATGGGCTCGAGGTTTTGTTTTTTTTTTTCCAAAAATGCAGGATCAACCATATTACATGATTTGATGGGTGAAATATATAGGTATGTGTACATTTAAACAGCAAATTGTTTTCTATTACCCCAAGGATTGCATGAGTCTTTAAATCTGTGAGTCAAATTTTAAAAATTGTATTTTTCCCCATTATGTGTTTTGTTAATTTTTATACTCTCCACGATAGTATGGAGGGTATATTAAGTTTGCCATTGCGTTTGTAACACCTCGAAATATACATTTTAGACCCCACAAACTATATATAGTCTTGATCAGCATAAAACTCTATGTCAATTTATCGCTGTCCGTCCTTCTGTCCGTCTCTCCGTCTGTGGAAATCACTCTAGCTTCCAAAAGAAAATGAAGTAAGTTGATAAAATTTTATTCAAATGTGTATTATGTCAGCAGGACTTTTGGTATAATGGTACCATATAATGGTACATCCCTTTTTTCCGTATTTTGGTGATTTAAGCGAAATTATTCTCCGGAAATGTTTCAAATTTGGTATTTGAAGTTCGTAATGGATAGCCCCCATATATACAGTATCGGCCAAAACCTAAGCACCCCCTCAGTACATATTTTTTAAATAATAATATTTTCAAGAAAACAAAGTTATTATGGTTTTTTTTTTATTTTTTTAATTATTTATATTTTTTGTTATTGAAAAACACAAACTTAAGGAATTCAGAATTTAATAAAAAAAGTTAATATTAAAAAAATATTTTAAGTCGCAAATGGAAGCGGACTAAACTAAAGCACCCCCTAATATTGTATCTGGAAATTTTACTGCCACATTACTGTATTAGTTAACGGTACACTCCAAAAATGCAGCAGCTATTAAGCTGCAGTGTTAAGAAAAAGAACTTGTTAGAATTTATGTAAAAAAAATATTATTTTAAAGTTTTCGTTTAGATAAGAGTAATGGCACGCAATAAGTACTCAAGTGAATTTAAAATTAGAATTCGTGATGATTGGAGAGCCGGCTCATCAAGACATCAATTGAGTGCAAAATATTCGATCAAAAGATCAATTCTTTCTAGGCTAATTAAAAAGTTTTTGCAGACTGGTCGCACATCTCCTACTCATTCTGGAGGAAGGCCACGTGAAACTTCTTGACAGGAATCAAAAGGACAGTCCAAAATGATCCTACAGCATCTTCTAGTCACATACGAAACCGTTTAAATTTAAAAACTAGAAGGGCGGTAGAGGCCGGATTATTCAGTCGACGACCAGCAAACAAACCTTTCATATCGTCAAAAAATAGAAAAGCCAGACTTGAATTCGCAAAGGCCCATCTCAGCTGGAGTGTCCAAAAATGGAGGACTGTGCTGTTTTCTGACGCATCTAAGTTTAATTTAAAGGATTCAGATAAGGCGTGTACGCAGATCAAATGGGCAACAGTTGAATCCTAAATATTGCAAAGGCACTGTAAAGCATGGAGGCGGAAACATAATGGTTTGGGATTGTTTCTCTGGCAAGGGATTGGTCCAATTCATAAGATTGATGGAATTACGGATCGTTTCATGTATCGTGACATATTAGAAGACGTGATGTTGCCTTATGCTGAAGAAGAGATGCCACTACAATGGACATTCCAGCAAGATAACGACCCCAAGCACACGTCAAAAGTGGTTAAAGAGCGGTTTCAGAACAATTTGATAAAAGTTCTCCCTTGGCCTGCCCAGTCCCACGATCTTAACGCAATCGAGAACTTATGGGAGATCGTTAACTCAAAATTCAACCGAGAAAATTGCAAAACCAAAGAAAATTTATTTGAAGCCGCAAAAATAGCCTGGGAAGCCATATCATCTGATATAATTAATAATTTAATAAACTCTATGCCTAAAATATGTGCGTGTGTCATCTAGAATAAAGGATTCGCAACGAAATATTGATTTCAATCGTTTTATTTTTTTTTTGCACCTTAAAATTTCGACTTTAAATATTTTTTGAATTCTAACTTTTTTCAATAAATTCTGAATTCCTATAAATCTTGTTTTTCAATAATAAATATATAAATAAATAAAAAAAAAATTGTTTTAAATTTTGTTTTCTTAAAAAAATTATCTTTTTAAAAAAAAGTACTGAGGGGTTGCTTAGGGTTTGGCCGATACTGTATAGTCGGAACTTTAATGATTTTAGCAACACTATTAACCGGAATTGTTTCTAACTTGATATTTGAAGTTCGTAATAGATACTACAGACTAAGACAGAAAATTGTCTGTGCAGGTCCACATCTTCGTATAGACACCATATAGCGGTACCTCCCGATAGTCGGTACATTGACGATTTTAGCGACATTATTCACCGGAATTGTTTCTAATTTGATGTTTAAAGTTCGTAACGGATACTATAGCCTATGACAGAAAATCGTCTGTGTAGGTCCACGTCTTCATATAGCCCCCATATAACGGTACCTCCCAATATTCGGTATTTTGATGATTTTAGCTACATAATTCACCGATTTTTTTTTTCAAGATTCGCATTTGTATATTGTAATGGCTTATGCCAAACGTCTACAATCGGAATTTTTAAGATTTTAACAGAATTTTTAATGGTTTTTTTTTGAAAATTGCCAAAATCGTTCCATAGATCGGCCCGGCGGAACTTACAGCTTTTTTACTTGGGCAAATTTAAATTTCTTTGGTTAAATACGTAATGTGCTAAAAATGTAAGAACATCTCTTTGGCAATAGAGATATAATGTTTGAATGATTTTCAATACAAGTACTGTATCCACAAATCTTTTTTTAAAATCATACTTTTTTTAAATCATAGAAATATTTATAAAAGTCCTGTTGTGAATCATTTTCTTATAAATGCACGTCTTGCCTCAGAAAAAGTCTTTAAGAACATACACGAAAATAATATTCCGAAAACCCTTAAATTGTTTCTTTGAGAATATTCTTACGACATGAAAATTTTTTTGGACAAATATAGTAAAAAGGTATAATTTTTGATATATTCACTGCATCCACCTAAATTCGATGCAAGAACTTTGATTAGATTATATAATTATTAAAAACCTTAGTAAAAGTTTTGTAATATCAATTGCTTGGCCACGATCCGACAGAATAGACAAAATTGGCTTATAAGCATTATTGCAAATTTGGATACGGAACTCCAAAGGCTGTTATGATAAGTTTATTCTTGACCCTTTATAGGAACGTTCCGAAAGGATTGTGCAACATTGTCCATTGGAACATGGAATATTGATATGTGTATCTGTTATGTTCCATCTTCACACCAGATCTTCGCATTTTATGAGATTTTGCTTATTTGAAATTTTGACCCATTTTGTGGGAGATACTAGAAGAAATGGTCCTGGTCATGCCAGTTGTTGTTTTAGTAGAAATATTGAAATGTTTGAAGGGAATTGCATGATCCATTCGGATTATGTATTTTCAAAATTTTAACCCTTTAGTACCAGAAGGAGTGGAGTGGGTATCTACAATCTTCACATCAGATTTTGTTTTTACAAAAATATTAAGACTTGCCGTGCTTGAGGGAATCGAATACTTAGACTTCAAGAAGCCTGTCTGTAGTGATTTTTTATGCCTTTCACCTTAACCGTTTTCAAATGTCTATGTGATCAAAATCCGTGACAAAATTCTTAGATCCAGCCATATCCTAACGAGGAGCAATTCCGAATTGGTCAAAACTGGGGCGTCGAAATTTTTCTATCAAAGCTGAATTTACTACGAAGATGGATAAAAATGGGCTCGCATCTTTTGGTACGTACAAAATAAAAGGTTAACATTTTCAACAAAATTACAGGGTGAGATAAAAAAACTGCAACAAACTGCTGTCATTTCTAAGCCACTCGTCCGACACCTATTAAAGATATTCCAGTAACAGCTCATTATCTTGTGTACAAAAGCATTTTGATGAGAATTTTCCGGAAAAAAGTTATTCGTAATGGAATTCAAGCGTGATAGTGTGATTTCTTTATATTTGGCTGGGAAACCGCAAGTGGCTATCGTTAGAGCACTCCAGCATTTAAATGTGAATAAATCCTTTGTGTCTCGTACCATCGCTCGTTGCCGTGATACTGGTAACTTAGCCCGACATCAAGGAAGTGGACGGAAGAAAACAGCAACATCAGCAGAAATGGTTCGAAAAGTAAAGAAGCGACTTGATCCAAACCTGCGTCGCAGTGGTCGAAATATGACTCGAGAGCTTAACATATCGCAATGTTCCATTCGGAAAATATTGAAAAATGAGCTCGGGGTAAAGCTATTGAAAACCCAATAAGTGCAAGAACTTATACCTCAACAGAAGGAAAATTGACTCAAAAGAACTAAAGAGTTGCTTTGCTTGGCCGAAAGAGTTGCTTTGCTCGGCACCATCGCACTCAGCACGCGCCACCTAAAAATGGTTACAAAATGAGATTCCAAAATCTCCGGATACCAATCCGTTGGACTATTGTGTCTAGAGTATTTTGGAAAGCAAGGTTGGCACCAA